TGCAAAAGATCTGTGAAAACAACTTAGTTTGCCACAAAGCATAAAGCTTGACAAAGGGGAAATATCTGCATTTGAATCCAGTCATTCAGTATTGATATAGACTCTTTATGTGTTATGTATACATGGTTGCAAATCTGTCCTTGGTGCTGAAAAAACTGTTGATCTCCGCTGCAACAATTCTGCCAAAATACATGTAACTCTGTTTACCACAAAAACTTGACAATAGGGTGAGAGAAAAATGTCTGCATCTTAATCCAGTTATTAAACTTTGTTTCAGACTCTTATGTATTATGTATGCATGATGGCACCCCTTTCTTCAGGGGTCCAATTTATACAATTATACAGTTTAACAATGAAAATAAATCTTGCATGAGGACACTTTTATTTTCAATGTCAATGTTAGAAAACCAATTGTACAATGTTTTATCACTCAGGTGTCAGATCATGAAGCTAGAAAAGATTGATAAGCTTGAAAAAATTGCCCCCCCAAAGTCTAGGGTTGGTGAAAGAGAAATATCTGCATCTGAATTCGGTCATTCAACATTGAAGTGTTATGTATGCATTGTTGCAACTCTGTCCTTGGTTCTGAATGAGATGTTGATCTCCTCTGCAAAAGTTCTGTCAAAACGACTCTGTTTGCCACCAAGCTTTTATACAAGCATCCATCATTTGGCTGTGTTTTACGACAAATTCTACGACTCTACCAGGAGGTGGTTTGATGTATCCCTCTCACGGCTCCCCCAGGCTAGTCTAGCTCATTAAACTGTCAACTGCTCCCTCCCAATAATCACAACGTCGTTAAGTCCTCAGGGTCGGGAAGCAATAAGTTCTCCGCATTATCCATATGCTTAGGTTTATTATCAGATCCTTCGAGCTCCCAAACAGCAGGGGTTAGGGTGACTGAGGATTTTGAGGAAGTTTGTTTAATGGGAGGTAGAGAGGGCATGTTTGTAGAATGTTTGTTTTGCTGTTAGGTAATGCCAGGTGCCTAAAAAAGTTACAGACAGTTTGGATGTACTGAGGGCGAGCTTTGAAAACCAAACAGTAGTTTCTGGAATAAATTTTGCAGAGATTATTTTTTGTAGACCTAACCAATTTCATTTCGGACAGAAAAGCATTCTTACCTACTTCTCAAAATAGACTAAGAAACTCAGCTGTTTATTCATTTGTTTGTTTGTTTGTTTACTTCCCCATTTTTAATGAAAATATCACCACTAGAAATGTCAGACAATGACCACAAAATATTCAGGGGATGGACACAGAAATATGAAATCTATAGCATCACATATATTCTAACATATCCTTGCAAGTGATGTTACTACCCAATTGGTTTCTTGTTAAAATCACACCCCTGCATACATGTATGGCTGCCTATACTGGTATTAAAATTCATAGGCAACTGTGTCCTTGGCTCAGACGTATAGCCACGATGGTCAGATTTGGGCCCAAAAGTCCCACTCCGCTACTATGGAGATCGAATCCCCCGAACCCGCGAATCTTGTTCGATATGACGTCATTCGAATAGAACCCGCGTTCGATCCGGGGTTACCCGCGGTCATTTACAGTAAAGCCGCTACAACCGGCTACTTCAAGCCCTTTTTTACTTGGGAACCACGGAACAGGAAAAATCCACCTTTCCACAAATATGAACCGTTTTCAAAACATTACATCTATGCCGTGATTTTATTGTGGATATGTAACATGTAACGAAGCTACTGCCGTCATCGTGGGTGACCTTGAAGGTCAGAATTCTTGTTGACCCTGTTATAAAATCCAGGTCCCCATATCCAAGTGGCACAGCATGCGTGCAAACATGGTATTTTAACCATTCCCAAAAATCGCTCAAATTACCTCATTGAGGTCTTGTTTGGAAGAGGAACGATTTCCGCAGATTTCTGTCTTAGGGATTTTTTAAATATGGCCGCGATTATGAATTATCGGTATTTAAAGTTAAAACACTGCGTTTTTAGCTCTTCTTTTGACTGTAAGTCGAGTTTTAGTTAAAAAATAAAAAATCCTAAGACAGAAAGTTTAAATTTACTGTAATATTTCTAAAAATCCAAAAATCTAACCTTATTTTTAATTTTCGGGGCCTCTTAAAATCAGTTGTTTGGTTCTCGTGAACCCTTTTTGAAATCCGAAATTGATCTCATTTGGAAGCAAATGTACACAAAGTGGAGCAAAGGCAGTGCAAGAATAACATTTGAGGTAAACAAAATCACTTATTACATTTTATTTTGACGAGTATTTACTCTCCAATTACTTTTGTTTATTTTCAAATTTTACCCGTTGCCCCCGGGCCGGCCCGGGACTCCCGCGCGGCCACGTTCGAACACGTTCTGTAACCCGATACCTCCCTAGTAATGCGACTTTTAGCCTAGCAACCGACCGCCGTGAGCTGTCCCTCTGCATACGACATAGTTCATTGACGCCTTTGTAAATGGCAGGGAAACAAAGTCTTTAAAATGCCACCGGGCATAACCTTTACATAGCACTATCAATATTTCATCCCATACGGCATAGACAGGCTGTTTTTGGTACAAAGAAGATATATCTGTGTGTTAAGTAATGTGCATAGTGATCAAGGACATCACACAATGTCCTTGAGAGTGACAAATGTCTTAGCATGTGTCGTGGAACGTTTTGTGACAACGTACATGGTAAAGTGACATTCTGATCCCGATAAAGAACACCATTAGTAAACCGGAAGTATTGAATAAATCAGTCAATACTTCTGCAGCAGCTTTTGCCGATAACAATTTCCTGCAGTATATCTTCCTAGTGTAACATTCAGAACTGTATTGCACCGTACCACATTATCAAGGAAAAAAGTTGACTTTGTATTAGAAAAGTGCGCAGATTTTGTGAATGCGGTGCTATGTTTACTCTCATGTGGTTCACTGCACATTTAATTTTATGCATGCAGGAGCATACTCCAATGCTGTTGTGTTATTTATGAGCTGTTCATCGTAATGTGTTGTGGGCAACATCTCACATTTCGGTCTAATTAGCACTGTATGTGTATGTGACAACATTTACGTAGGGGGCACTGTTGATGAAATTCTTTGCATCCGTGCAGCTCTGTCCTTGGTGCTGAAGAAACTGTTGACCTCCACTGCAAAAGTTCTGTCAGAACCATTCTGTTTTCCACAAAGTTTATAGCATTAGCTGTTTTTATGACATATTTTATGACTCTTCAAACAAAGCATACCAATATTTTGCCATTTCCACTAAAAATGAAACTTCTATACATATTTCAGATTTTACACTAAACTGCTTCAAACGTTTCCCTCAAGTATTTGTAAGTTAAGGCAAGATACCACTGACTTCATCTAAACAATCAGAGATATCATGATTTTACATGTTTCAACTGTACAAGGCTTTTGAGAAAGGTCAGAGGGACATGCCATTATCAAGAATAAGATTTTTCCCTTAGGGCACAGGTTAAGAAGTAGTGTGGTGTTGTCCTTATGATGATAGAGGAATCGCCACCCTTGGCCTAACTACAAGTATCTGTATCTGTATCTGTATAGCTGGTATAACTGCCCTTCGGCGTAACACACCAGCTTTGCAGGCACGCGGGCGCAGTGGCAGTTGGCTGCATTACACTGATTGACGTAAACTAGAGGGAAGTAAAACCTATATTCAGACAAGATCTTTTCAAAAACTCACTGTGAGCATGAACTATACAGCATTACCCTTAATCCAATCAGATTTTGACTGCAATCAACCCCATGAGGTGACAACCTTTCAAGGCAAATTACACTAAAGATTCCATCTCACACTCATATATAGTTTTCTATTGGTGACATTTTACCCACACAAAAGACAGTACCCCCTACTGCTGGATCTTATTGATGTTTCAAGTATGTTCTTCCCTGACCTGTTGACATCACCATCTGTTGTCTGCCAGTAAGACAGCTTGGTGATCTATATAGTACGTTGTCAGAATGCACTGTGCCTGCACAAAATCACAGTTTCCGTTGGATCTTTTGTCAACATTGAATCAGACTTTTGTCCGTTGCATATCTTTCCCAACAACAGCATTTGAAAACTATGCAGAAAGGATATCATCCCTGTCTATTATTACTAGACGACCTTAAACAATACATTTTGTTTTGTGTTATTAGTATAGGGTAGTTTAATGTTGTCTGCAGTTTAACTGTCCTGAAGTCAAGGTAGTGAGTACTCCATGTTATACATTGTATATCTCAGTCGCAGGGTGTTAAAATGAGTTGCCTAGGCATGTCACACTAAAAGATTATAATATCTTAAGTTAATACCAATACCAGTTGCCCTCTAAATCTTGACTGCTACATAGATGTGATGATAAGATATGTATTTTGCTGTAGTTTAAGTGAGTTCTACTCTAATGGAAGGTCTGACCTTGTAGATAATGACATTATTCACTGGTATTCATGATAATGTCAGAGACTGGGTTCACAACGTCCAAACAATATGTCAATCAGTGCTGTAAATGTCAGACCTATTAGGCAGATTGTAGGGTACTTAAGCTTGCTATACAATATATCTGTCGTCAATTTTCTTCTCAAAGCAAGCAAATCACTATATACAGACTGCTGAATCATATTACGGAGGGACATTTTGAGACAATTCAGATGCCATCATGTTGGAGAGACGACATTCTGATGCATAAAGAGTAACCTGATAGATGGGAAGAAGTTAGGGAAAGGTCGGATGAGACCATCCGTGACAGGAACCTTGCCACATTTCTGTTCTGTGATCAAATGTCTTGAAAGGAAAAGGCCTCTATGGAAGTGCTACTTTAAAGGCGAGGAATTCAAACATCATGCAAAAGGCTAGTGTCACACTATGAAGAGCTAGAATGTGCAGTAACACCAGCAATTTTCAACATCTGGTACAAAAAGATAAGGTCGCAATGGCCTAGTCATTTTGCCTCCATGAAACATTTAACACTAGTGTGAACCTGAAAATGGAGTAAGAAGGCATTTCAGAGGAAATGAGGAACTGTCACGTACCATCTGTTTAAGATGAAGTTCAGCCATTCTGCCGTCTCGCTCTGCCTCAGCGCCCTCTTCCTGTGTACCCGCAGTTCTTCCTCCCTCACGGCCTCCTCGACGATCTGCTGAACCTTCCCCCTCCACACCAGCAGGAGAAGCAGGCACAGGCCACCCAGCCACGCCACCGAGACTCCCATGCTCCCCAGCAGCCAGGCAGCCGCCACGACTCCGCAGGTGAAGACGCAGACGAGGAGTTGTTGAGTCTGTCGCCAGCCCTGCTCCAGGGCGAGCTGCTCCTCCTCGGCGGGGGTCAGCTGCACCGACGCGCCGTGGTAACGTCCGGACAACAGTCCTCCCGAACCTCCAGACATCTTCAGCATCAAGTCATCTGTCCTTCAAGGGTGAAATCACCTCCTCCTGCAAGCATTCAGAACACTTATCAGACAAAACACCCACCATGCCATCAGAATACAGTCAAAAGTGAATAAAGTAGCTGAGTGTACTAGCAGTACAGCAGCAGTCACAGGCCTCTGTTATGCCGATTTATTTTTGTAATTCAATCTGTCTGGTGGAGAATAACAACAATTCATAATTCATGCCTATAACTGTCTCTACGTGAGGCTGTACAGTAAAGGTTGATTAGTTTTATTGTGTAGCTGACTCACACTGCTGCAGCCTACGCTGTAACTGTTCACGAGGCCTCCACCCTCATTCTGTACTACAGTAGACTAGTGAATCGAGTGTGATTACCAGAAAGGTAGGCGTGATATGCACATTTTCTACGGAACATCGTCAGCTGAGGATAAAACTCAATTTGTCACCATCTTTCCCCACGTATAAAGAGGCCATGAATAAAACAAAGCTTGGTTTAACAGATAAAACAGCAGCTTGCATTATTCTAGGAATTTCTCGGAATATCAGATATGAAAAGTTGGGCCAACTGAAATGAAAGTAAGTTAGTTGTCTACATGTTTCTGTAGCATTGTTTGTACATGTTGCCTTGATCCTGTAATATCCTAATACAGCCTCCTGACAGAAGTTAATCTTGTCAAAGATGCATAGTAAGACCCTGTTCATACATACCAGGTTCCAAATATCCTGCAAAGTTCTTTTGCAGGGTTTTATCCAGATTTGTTTATAAAGCCTGGTATGAATGCAATATATTCTACTAGTAAGCTCCTTTTAAGGGATTTATAGACTGAGGTTTGCCAAATCCTCTCCTGGTGGATTATTTTCAATTAGTTGCTCCAGCTAGAACCCTTATGGATCAGGATATTTTGTGTTCATGTCAGGTTAAAAATTTCCAGCTACATTGTTGTGATTTGTAAACAAAAGAATTTAGCAGTCTACAAAAATGTATTTGCAACCTGTTATGAATTGGTTCTAACTGATTGCCATCTTTCTCGTGTTCACTAAAACTGTACCTTTTCATACACTGTTCGTTACGTATTTACTTCACAAAAATAAGATCTTAAAACAAATGGGGGTCGTGTGGCGCAGTCGGTAGCGCGTTCGGCTCACACCCCAGAGGTTGTGGGTTCGAACCCTGCCCATGTCACCGATCTTGTGCCCTTGGGAAAGGCACTTTACACGACTTTCCTCACTTCACTCAGGTGAAAATGAGTACCTAGCTTCGGTTAGGGACGTCCCTCGGATAGGACGTTAAATGGAGGTCCCGTGTTTGGGAGATCCACACCCCATGCACGTTAAAGAACCCACCGCACTTATCGAAAAGAGTAGGGGATCTTCCCGGTGTGAGTGGTTCAAAACCTTACAGTCCGGTCTAACGCAGCTTGTACATGTGCGCACATGTACAAAACTGGTGTGTTACGCCTGAAGGCGGTTTACCGGTTATGCGAAACAAACAAACAAAACAAATGCAATTACTTGTAAGAGAATTATTTATTGTTTTGAAAACATGTCTCCCTCTTGTATGGTCTACTGTTCATGTACTGTAAATTAATTTACCTAAGTGGGGAGTTATCTATAACAATGTGAGAGGAGTTTTTTGCAGTTTCAAGTTTATGGTGGAAACAGTTCATGTAGTCATGATTTTGTGGTGAGAGTTCAAAAATAAAATAAAACCACTGCAAACATTTTGAGAGTTACGGTATGTGTCACACAGATAGCCTCAAGCATCTGAAAAGGGCAATGTCAAATGGCTAAACTGCCAAATTATGATACTAAAGGCTATCAAAAAAAGAAAGAGACATGCCAAAAGATTGTAGATCCCTTTCAAACCCCATCTGGCCATTCTGTCATAAGACCTAATTATCCCCACCACTGGGGTGGTAAATTTCCAGAAGCATGCCTCTGTGGTCCTCACGAAGGAGGAAAGGTCACGGAGACAGGTGAAGGTCAGTTGAGAGTCAAGAGCAAGGTCAAGTCTGAGTACAGGATCATACAGAAGGATCATCCTGAGGGAGACTGGGGGTGGGGGGTAATCTGTTGAATGATAACAAAAGGATTGGCAAAATGGTCTGCTGTGAGGAAGCTTTAGATGATGATAGGGCAGAGCATTGTGATGGGAGTTTTCATAAGACAACATCAGGCCTAGGGTTGCAACCAAATAAAAGTGATGCAAATGTCAGTTCATTTATCTATTCACCGTATACAATCTATTGTGAGTCAATACGATTTCTATCAATGGATCCAAGTACTCGGAAAATGTAAGTACATAAATTGCAATGTGGCAATACCTATCAAGTTCTGCCCATTTCGTGTGTCTGACCTGTAATCCTGCCTGTCAATCTTCCCCCACCTACAGTACCTGCTGTCAACCTACTCTATCCAGACAAGCATACACTCAAACCCACAGCTCAGCCACACACATCCAAAAAACACTTTGGAATCCATACTCAGGAGTGATAAATGAACATTTAAGATACTGGAACTACAATGTACTAGGTTTCATACCTGGGCTTTACAACATATTGCCACAAACACGCCCACTCTTAAATCCCATTGTCCAGGTACATACCAGGTGTTAAGGTATCATTCAAACTAAATTTATTTAACATTTTGTTAAAAAAGAAGGTAAGGTTATGTAATGTTTTACAGGTACACTAGACAGTAAAATCGATCAGAAGAAAATGGAATTAGTGATGTTGAATTTTAAAATATTAGAAGGAAGAGGAGAATCACAAAAAAACAGTATGTTACCAACAAAATATGGATACCATTTCATGTCACATGCAACATTTCTATAAAATTTGCAGCCCATGTACGACCAAAACACAGTTCGTGGGGAGCTGTATGTGATGTACAGACTTGGTTTCGTTTTGCCCACCACCAAAATTAATTATCCCATACCGGTGCGCCATTCGTGTGTGCTCACGCATGGCGACAGCTGACAACAACAGGTATACACTGTAACATTACCAGGACTGATCATCAGAAGTACGCCACTCCAAACACACGCTTGACTTACAAGCACTGCAGATGGCCTTTCTAGAGTTGTTGCTCGAACAAAGGGAAATTATATTGTACCATACTTGAAATAAGAGAGCTCGTGTGGGATTTTTCAATAAAATATGTTGCGATTGATGCACGTAAATTCCTACCACCACAATCAAACCCACCTGTGACGTATATACTAGTGTGCCGCATGTCTGGAATCTTCACAATTAAGCCTTACTAGGCCATTCTATCAAAATAGAAAATGGCACAAGGTAAACGTGATATTTCGCCACGACCCGGTGGTATTTGAAGCAGCTTAGTTCGCTAGGCCGCCAGACTGGGGGAGGAGTAAGACCTACCTTGCACATAATCTTGCAAATTCCTATCAACACCTCCTCAAGTACCATTCCTTACGGAGTCTTGGCGTCTTGAGACCACTACTACCGCGACGACGTTAGCATGATGTACGTGTGGCCACTATCGTGCACGTACACATGGTTAGGGTCTAGTCATGGGGCGGCGACATCCGACAATTCACACAGGCAGCCCGCCCTTTGGTATCAGCGTCCAACCCCAAAAATTCTGGCATCGATTTTCTTCCAATCGTTGGGGGTCAAAGGGTGTGGAATACCGAAGACGGCACGCGGCCGAGCAGCCTAAACATTTAACAAAAGGGAAAATTTATCGCCCTTCCAAACCGTTTGCGACAGAAGTGAAAATCCGTCATTTGAATGCACGAAACGCTGAAAGGACTTTGCGGAGTGTATTATAGTGGCGTAGGTAAAACCGCGTGCCAGTCAATACCTGAACTTCAAAGCCAATTCTCGCGACTGTGGTTAAGTCCTTCAAGCTGAGCGATCAAAAGAACAACAGAGGGTTGCGATCCGTCTATCAAATTCTCCTTTACTTCAAAGGACTCCGGACAATCAAACAGATTTATACCACAGGACAGTACTTTTCTTTGATCGCCGGAGGCAATAATTACATGTATAGCGAGACGCTCCCTTGCGTTTTGGCGCTGAAGAACAAGGCTTTGGCGCCTTGCCAGTGACTTTGAAGCAACTTCAATACATTCTAGAACTCGTCCTTGGATAGAAGGACTCAACGGAAGCGCTTTCTATCTTTTACGGCCGACGATATTTTCTGTTTATGTATGCTGGGCGAGCTGTTTGTGGCGCCACATGCATGCAACATCACTGACTGATAAACTTTTAAGTCACCGTTGCAACTTGCAGTCAATACTTTCTTAAACTCGTCCTTGGATAGAAAGAAAGATACAACCGAAGCAGTTTCTATCTCTGTAAAAGGTTCTGTTTATATATGCTGGGCGAGCTGTTTATGGCGCCACATACATGTGACATCACTGACACCTTAAGCGCAATGACTGATAAACTTAAGTCACCGTTGCAACTTGCAGTCAATACGTTCTTGAATTCGTCCTTGGATATATAGAAAGATACAACGGAAGTACTTTATGGCTTTGCAACCAACGTACGCATTAGGATCTGTTCATGGCGTCATTGCAAATACATGTAGCATCACCTGAAGCGTAGTGACTGATCTTAATCTTAAGTCAGCGGTAACGTTTTGTACCTATAGAGATGACAAAGACTGCTTATCACAGCATCACACTCACAAAGCCTTACCGTTAGGCGATATACGTTACACAGGGCGGCATTCTCCTGACCTAGCCCACCGGCAACACACATTCGAATAGTCACGGTAATCCTCAGTGCATCGACGGAAACATGATTCAGCTTTATTTCCTATTGATTTAATTCCTATATTCGTGAAGAACGCGGTTTTTTTGGTCCGTACTATTTTGGGCGTTCTTCAGGGAATGATCAAATCTGTGAATACGATTACCAAGTCATGCATTGTTCGTGTACTGGCTGATACGTTTAAAATCGTCCAAATAATGATTCACATGAAAATGATCAGTTTTCTGGACAGGACAAGACGATTTTTAAGGTGTTTTTTTAAGGCCATGTCGATTTGATTATATAGAGGACATCCTCGTAGAACCCCAAAACTGAAGCGAGCGTGTGAATTAAAAAAAAAACGAAATCTACGTGGTCATGAAGGTTGAACAAATGACTAAACAAATGACTCATGGTATGGCGAATAATAGACTCTGCATTTTCATTTCTTCACATTTCCTTTTTTTTTCATTTGAATTGATTTTGGCACTCTACGACATTAGTATCGTTTTCCAATTTTTTTCCATATATTTGCTCATTGTGCAGCTGCTTTGTACGATTTACAGTGTATTTGAAAACGTTTTTGGAACCGGACTAAAATTCATGCGCGCGTGGATGTCATCCATATAATCAAATCAACATGGCCTAAGAAAAGGTACCGTTTATGTAGGTGCTTACCTCTGTGCTTTGCAGAGCACGTTCCACGCCCAAAACTTTCTTTGCTATACAAAATTGAGTCAGAATTAGCGCGTGGGCATTTTCAACGTTTTAGTAGCTAGGAGTGAGTTATCGCCGAATTTACGAATGGTGCACTCTAGTAAAAGCCGGCACCTGTCTCCGGCTGTACAACCACACAGACGCACTTCGCACAAAAGTAATATTTCCCGCCCACGGAAGAGGGCTGAGGGAATTCCAAGATCAGACGACATTTAACGATTAAAGGCCGATGACCTCCTTCTACGTGAGGACATCTCTATGCAGTTGGTATTCGGCAGACGGCATGGATTGAACGATGTCGGAAACGCAGGACATCGATAAATTTCCTCCTCACAGTAGCTAGTATAACGGCAACTTGTTACCTTGGAAATTACACACTAGTACATGATACATTTATTGTGGCAAGTGAGCACTGGTTGAACACGAAATTTGGCTCGTCGTATAGGCGCCAGAAAACGACCAACATTTAATTGTGTTCTGAATGGGGTACGCATATCGTATAGCACAGTAGCAAGTAACCTCCGAACAGATCCTACGGCGGCAAGGCAGTATATATCCAGTTGGCTAATGTACACTGCTTGCTGAATGGATACTAGTACTAGTACTGCTTTGTTACCGTATTATCTGCTTGGAGAGTAGTAGCAAGGCTCTAGTACAACAAGGATTAGGACGTTCCCCGTGAAAAGGATTACGTGAATTACAGGCGATCCTTTCAACGATCCAAGAGTCGATTACATGTTTATGGTCCTTCACATAGACCCGAACATCCCAATAACCATCAACATACTTACGTCAAACATTCCAACATCTACCCATAAAAATATTGACGAGGGAACGTGAATAAATTCTAACCACGTATATTATGTAGCCTTGCCCGAGAATTCACGATCTAAATTGTATTTGGGACGCTTGGCGTTCAGCCCACTGTGTATGTGGTGGCCTTGCATACTCAACCTTGCATATTTCTAACTTATTCGCAAACACGTTTTTGTGTCCCCCACGTTTTAATTTTTCATGCCAACGGTTTCCGGTACGTTACGATAAATATGCAACACAAGGCGCTATGCACTGGAAAGGTATCTGTATCAGTATAGCCAGTATAACCGCCCTTCAGCGTAACGCACCAGCTTCGCAGGCACGCGGCGCGGTGGCAGCTGTCTACATTACACCGATCGACTTGTTACACCTAACCCTTGAACATCTAACTCTAGACATTGTTTAAAGCTATCTAATGACAATGTCCCTACTGTACTTGGTGACAGCGAGTTACACTCTGCGATAGTTCTAGAAAATAATGAATTCTTGAACCCCGGTATAAAAGAGAGAACTTCGTAACCTGTGTCATTTAGCCTCTGTACACTTGAAGAAGCCACATTGGGCGAAAGCGGTCGTGTGACAGGCTGAATGAAAGTTTTAGTAATGCGGCTCCGCAGATGTGTTACTGAGGGACGACTGCGTGTACGAGATGTCGGTTAGCTTGAGGAATTAATCCACACTACTACATACGACAATGTACTTGTATTGTAATATGTACTATGTGATCTGTTTCTAAGAATCCATGACTCCACAACACGTGTTTTTATCAGTTAACCTCTGAGCCTAACAGAGATAGTGGCAGTACCGCCTGGGTTTAATAGATAAAAGCAAGACACAGTGCAGTCATCCGGAGACAGACGATAGAAGAGGTGACGTATCTGGATACGATAGAGTGACAGCACTTGGTTTTTGTCTTCATTTTTGCCTAGTACGTACCCTCTTTTTCCGACTGCTCTACATACACAAGAAACTATGAAGCATCCCGTTACAGTACCATCGCTGCGAAGCTTGAACTGATGGCAGAGAAAGATGCATACATGATTCCTGTTGCCGAATAGCCTGGGTGACAGGCTGTTTCCAGGGCTTACACAGGCCAGTTCCTCGGCTCCTGGGGCAACATGCCTCAAGGAACTTATACAACAGCTCCCCGGTGTTAGGCCCTAATCCCAGCACGTTGGTTAACTCCCAGAGTCTAAAAAAAGCGTGTTATGGGTCTGGCATCCAGGCAAATTGCCCAACTACTTTTTCTAGTTCGTATTCACGAAGTTCCCACGTTAACATGCGTCTTTATAAAAACGCAGCCCACCTCTAAAACACATGTGACTCCCTATTTCTTAAAAGAGGTCAGTAGACTAGAAAGCTCTTGTTTGTCGTGGAAATTTCTCTTCAACAGGAAGATAAAATTAACACAACTAGCTTACCTGCCTACGAGAACGTTTGAAATACTATAGTAGACTTACCTTTGTACGTAGCCGGGATACCCTTAGAGTCACAGTTTGCGTTCAGAGTAGTCGCTTCGCCTCATCTCGGAAAGCCACCCCCGTGACTGCACAGATTTCCCTGGCGACACGCGGTATCCTACAGTTCACCACAGGGTTTGAGCGAGGATGACTCTGGATTCCTGGTGATCACAAGAGGACGGCCTGTAGTCAGACGCCTCCTCTACTCTCCCCCTTCACTCCCGACTGCAACTGACTGAACAACAGACGTCCTATTCTCCCATCTCCAGCGCATGCGTTTTTTCTCTCTCCCGATTGTTATAGCAACAGGTATGTAGACGTGTATGTAAACACAAATCAATAAAAATATACGGATATAAGGATACAATAGCGAAGAGCAAGATATGATATTTTGAACCAATTGGGATTATTTTACATTTTCAATTAAACATTTTAAAAATCACGTATATATGTAAATGCTACATGTCTGACTCAATAACACCACAGAGACCATTTCGCACGCCTGTTGTGTCAATGTCAATGCCGGTTTCGCTCGCACACTCCCCTCCCCACTCATACTAACTTGGAATTTCACGTCTGGTGCACTTCCCTGGGCCTTTCCAATCGGAATGCAGATTGCGCGAATCAGAGAAAGGACTTAGTATACATGTAGGTTCCGCGCCACTGCGAACTCAGCAATATGTCAACAGGGAAAACCAATACTGATAGAGTGAGGGCCGACGCACGCGTTGAAATGCACATAAAGAGTCTGTATCTGTATCAGTATAGCCAGTATAACCGCCCTTCGGCGTAACACACCAGCTTCGCAGGCACGCGGCGCGGCGGCAGCTAGCTTTATCATACCGAACGACTTGTTACACCCAATCTTTGCACATTTAATTGCAGGAGTTGTTTAAAGCTTTATTCTAGTGATGATGCCCCAACTGTGCTTGGCGGCAACGAGTTCCAGTCTACGATAGTTATGGGGAAATACGAGTTTTTGAACACCTCAATTCTTGGTTGATAAATCTGATATTTGAAGGCATGACTGCTTCTTGTTCTTTTCGTCGGAAGTCTATCCAGAATGACAGTCCCTGCACAATTTTGTGTTCTGAAAGATTTTACCCACCTTACACTGGTATAGCTTCTTGGGGGACATGATGATACATGTGTATTGTGTTTTGGTATGGCAAACAACACAACACAGGTCATGAATTCAATAAAATAACATTATTTTTTGAGTGGAGAATATTTTCAAATTTTACATAAACTCAAGCCTGCAAAAGTATTCACCTCCAGCTGAATTGACAAATATGACAAATACACAAACATAAAAGTCTCCTTTACGGACTTTATTTAATGACAATACAATGGTCAATAGCTGCGCCTGTCATTTTGACGTTTACATGCCTGTTAAATGTACTAGTATGACTTTTGTTTGTGTTTGTGTTTGTTCACTGTCATTACAGGACATCAATGTCGATAACATAGCACAATTTCTCCATTGCGGTGACTCAAGGTCACAAAACGATGGCGGCTCCTGTTGGATTGATGAACGGTGCAGCAGCGCCTCCTATCGTCTCTACTCATCATCGTCTCCGTCCTTGGCGCGGCCTCCCCAGCGCCCGTGAGCGATGGAGGAAACCGTCCACAGCAGCGGGCCGAACAGCGCCAAACCGAAGGTCGACAAGCCGATCAGCGCTTCTCCCGTAGTGACAGGCTTTCCGACGTTCTAGAACGGGATGAAACAGGTGGCAAAATTACAAATAGTGCTAACAGACTGTAACATATATTAAGTATTCTTCTTTCTTTGACAATTCGTCACTATTGTTAAGTATATATCGTCGACGACGCACGTTTTGAGAGAAAGATGCGTAACGTTATATTGCGAAAATCTCAAATGGCAAGTCTGCTTTGCGAATATGAGATGAGTAGAGTATTCTGTCATGTTTGTTACTTGTCTTACTTGTCTGGAATTCGACTGAAGTTGCACAGGACTTACACTATCCTTGACGAAGGCATGTTTATTCGCCATCCTTCGGGCAAACTGCCGGCAAACGACGGGCGAAGACACCTTGAAGACGTGGGGAAACATCTTGAGTGGCCTTCGAACTTGTGTAAAGTCAGTTTATTTGGAGAACAAGGCGCCGACGTCTTGATATGGGCAAGAGTTCTTGAGAAGTAAATGTGAGAATCGTCTTCTGCCTTTGTGATGTCATTTATCGTGGTCTCTGATTGGCCAAAAGTTCTATGCACAACTCATAGGGGACCAATCATGGAGCTTCCTGTTGTTACATCATACACATCAACATGACCCATTGTGTCACATTATCACACTTAGTAGGTCAAAGTTCAAAATAAGGCCTATCCCATAGCCCCGCCCACCTCCGTTACACCTTAGAAATTCAGACAGTTGAGGGATATGCAGCCACTCTCTCATTGGTCAAACTACTAATTACCATGCTCTCATTGGTTGAACTGTTAATTGTGGTGGACAGTAATGATCAGTCTGTTGATGAACTGACACTCGTAGTTCAAAGTACTCTTTGGAAATCATTTATTTTTAAAGCTTACAAATCTGACATGTCTACAATAAGGTGTGAGTTAAAAAGATGTTTTATCTGCATCTTATCTGCATTTGCATGACCAACATAGTATCAAACTAATATTCCGCATTCAGTGTTCACCACGTACTTCCGAAAAGGCTCATACTGGGTGAACATGTGAGTAGGTAGCATTTATCTATTCTGTTCTAAAAAAAATGAAATAAAACCGAATAGAGAGGGAATTATATTTTATTTCATTTGCATGACTTTATTGAGGTAGTTTAAGACATGTGCAGTACACTGCATATCCCTGGGAAAAGTCAGTGGGCAGCAAACCTGGACTAGTCACCATGACCAAATGGACTTAGTCAATACTACAGCAATAGTTCAATACCCTATATTTTGGGCCTCTTAGTAAAGAATCCAGTTTGCTCAAAAATAATTTTAGAATATCATTTAGTATAATTTGAATGGAAAGTAATTTTGTGCCTTGGATAGTCCAAATTGATATTCCTTTAGTTTTAGATAGAAGATACAAAATCATCCATGGCAATGATTCTCACTACTAGTTATTAATCTAGACATTGTAAAAGACTGACTATTCAGAACCCCCATCAGGGGCTCTGCAAAGCTGTATCATTTTTTTTAAAGCTCAATAAATCATGAATATTATTTTGTGCTAAAAAGTTCGGCAATATTTAGAACTTTCCATTATCCTTGTTGAAGATCCTCGACTGTTAAAAGACCTGCTCTGTTGGCCTCACCCAAATGTCATTGAACTGGAAAAAAACACAAACGGATTTACCGGAAGTACAGGTCATGAAAACTGCAATTCATGTTCATGACAACTGCTGTACATTGACATATATACCAAAAGCTGTTTTTACCACAACTGTTTGTTGTGAATTTTGTGTTTTATTCATAAATGATTATTGTGAATGTCTTGCTGATTCTGCACATATTCCTATGCCACCTCCCCCCAGCATTTGGGGAGACCATTTTGACCTCAGATTCAACCTTCTTTTCAGTCTGTGGTTACACCATTCCCCCTAGCTTCCTCAGTACTCAAATAACAGCAGACACACAATCAAACAAACAAACAGAGAACAACAAACCAGGTAATGATTGTCCTGTGCTGTATAGTATCATTGCATAAGTCCGACTCTCAGATTAAGCGGTTAAACTACAATAAACAAGTATATAAAAGTACCTGGCCATGTGGCATTACCCTATTCATATATAACGGTGGGAGCCCTAACATCGGACTCTTTTTCATGTGCGCGAACAAACCACGCTCTACTGCTAGTTGTCAGTGAATGGTCAGGTTTTGATGAAAGAATTTCGAGAACATTAACAACTTTTAAGTACTTTTGCATAACAAGATCAGTAAAAAAATCCGTCCGAAGTTAGGGCAAGTCCTAAGTTAGGACACCCCCCGTTAATGTACATCTGGAATATATATAAAGCTCACCTCCACATGTGGCGGAGCACCCAAAACATACAGAATCATATCAGCCAGGTCCTTAGCTTGCAGACACTGGAATTAATACGACAAGACAGAGCAGTTTTACATGCATTACACAATATTCTTTTACACCGTGGTTAAATACAACATTTTCAATGTGACCAGTATGATCTTTATCAGATTTGAACAATCCATACAAAGTCTATTAACTCTTGGCTTGTATGCTTATATGGAAAAATAAAAACACAGAGGAATATGTCTCTTTTTTTGTTAAATTGACATTATAACATCCTACATTAATTTATAACTTATTATTTACTATCATATTTGGAACAAGGCTGAGGCAATAAAAATCATTGCCAAGGCGACAACTGAATGATATATATTTTATGATGACATACTTACTTACTTTACTTTGGTCGAGTTCCAACTCGAACCAAACTTAAAACCATCCTCCACTCCACTTCACTCTATCCTCCACCAGAGACTGGATTTTACGTCTGATCTGAAGTTGTTACATGTACTCCTAGGACTTGTTTGACCTTTTGTGGGTCCCCAGAGGATAGATAATTTCTTTTCTCTGTGTGATCTGTTTGAATAAACCCACCCTCACCAGCCTAAATGTTCTTTGGGGAGGGCATGTCAGATCAAGTGGTGTTTGACCAAAGACAGCTGTGCTCTCTGTCCATGGTGTGGGGAGGAGACAGATGACCAGTAATTAATCATGCCAGGCAGCTGGCACGTGGGCACCCGGTGTAAGTTACCTGCTTGGTCCAAAAACCACATGGCCGAAGGTTACCTCAGAACCAATTCCCTAGGGAATGCATTCATGCAATTTTTAAAATTCTTCCAAAGCGATCGTAGTACTTGCACAAATGCCTCCACCCCAAAGGCGTCACCAAAAATTATAAAAAAACTTACTTCAATGCTGGCATAAGCGGCATGAGCCTTCTGTACATCATCTTTATGTAGGCGAATGGCGAACTCTGTCTCTACCAGGCCAGGAGAAATGCACTGTGGAACACAGGAGGGAATAACATTTTTTTTAGTGATCATCATTTAAGAACAACCCCTATTTGGAAACCCTATATATGATGATAATGTTGTAGAGTTGAATCCATTTATATGGTGAAGATGTTGTGCAGTCACTTTGATGTTGGGCAATTATATTAAGTTAAATGTATTACCATGCATGTACATGTATGGTAAAGGTATTATACAGTTATGTCCATGATGATATCATGGATTTAAATCCATATATGATGATGATATTGTGGATATTGTGATGATGATGTATTACCATGTATGGTAAAGGTATTATGCAGTTACATGACTTGTATGTCCATATACAGTATATCTATATGTAAATAAATAAATAATAAATGTATGATGATGATATTGTGGATTTAAATCCATATATGGTGATGTTGTTGTGCACAGTTATATCCATGTATTGTGATGGTGTTGCTGTAAAGTTGTTACAGTCCATATATGGTGACGATGCTGTGTAGCTATGCCCATATATGGTGATGATATTGTAAGGCTGTATAGGCTGCTACATGAATGGGGGCCTGCATGGAGGGTCCCGACAACGCACTATGCTAAATTTTGAGAGCCAGCTACGTATTACGCTACAGTAGCGATTACGCTTTTGGATAGATTCCAAGTGACTACAATGCATTACATAGAACTAAAATGCGAATTATGCTCTATGCTCTACGTTGAATTAGAGCTATCCGTCTATGCTCTACGTAGAATTAAAATGGCTGATTACACTCTAAATCGGCATGTGGGCCACCATGAATGTCAAAGACAGTACAATGTACATGTAAGATCTTAGTTAAGTGGTAAGCAATATAATTCAATAGACTTGAATTTGAGGCTATCATTCATTATCATGACCACATTTCTTTTCTTAGTCTTTTTTAAACAAATGTTAAAATTCAGAGGTTGAAGTACAGTAGTAGTATTAGGTAGTAGTAATAGTGGTACAAAAGTAGTAGTAGTAAGTAGTAGTTGTAGTGGTAGTAGTAGTGTAATAGTAGTAGCAGTAGTAGTAGTAATACCGGTATTATTACAACAGGACTGACCGTAGCTCTGATGTGTGACTTCATCTCCCTCAGCTCTCTCCTCAGCCCTTCAGTCATGGCCGTGATGGCAAACTTCGTCATAGAATAAAAGGCATTCGACCCAACAAGACGATGACCAGACATACTGCAAGATATACAGTAACACTTAACAGTTATTTATTACACATCTGGAAGGACCCCTAATCCAGGTATATCTGAGACCATGTCGCCTGACTGCCCATTATCTCATATCGTCACACAAGTTTGTGGTTGGCACAAGGAGAGCATTGCTGACAGAAAATCTGTAGCATTTTGCAAGTGTAAAGATGAAAACTAACGCAGTAAAAAATGCAAACAGAAAACCTCCGAAAATATTTTGAGATCTGTAGTAACTGAATCAAATCACAGACCTGTTTAAGGTGATGATGTGTCCATCATCCACTCCTCTCTTCCTCATCTGCTGTACAGCCAGCTGGGTACAGAGGGTGGGCGCCAGGATGTTCACCTAGCGGAACAGACAAAACTTGTACACATGACAACCAATACAACCTTAGGACACAGCAATTTATTACTCCTTGAAGGAGGTCATGACCTCCGGACGGAGTATTGTTGGCAGTTGTTGAATAGCGGGGGGGAGGGTCCTTCATGCAGATGTGAGGCTAGGTCTTTAAGCCCCGAAAGCTATGACCCATAGGAGCCATGACATCAGCATACAAGTTTAAATAGTTTATACCAGGAATATAATACAGATACAGAGAATATGGACAAAAGACTCACATCCGTCATCGTCCTGAAATCCTCAAAACTACCAGACAGAAGTGGGGCCTTTATGGCGAGTCCGGCGTTGTTGATACAGACGTCCACGCCGCCATGTTGGGACTGGATGTCGTCAAACATGGCTCTGATCTCAGCCTCCACTGTCAGGTCACATTGGACAGGATACAGCTGTCCTGCAGCACCTGTCTGCTGCAGCTCGGCTGCTGTTTCCTGCAGAAAAAATAAAGTGGCGTTTACAACATGCCTCGGCGATGTGATTCTCTTTTGATGTGAGTCATGATCATTCCAAGGGAAGCCACTAGGTGACCCAAAATCTTATCATTTCTAGATTTAGTCACACCCTACCAACTCACCAAGTATGAAACCAATCCATCCAGCTGTTCTTGAGTTATCTTGTTGACAAAATTTAATTCCCTAGGGAATGCATTCGTGGAATTCTTAGAATATTTTCAACTCAATCGCAGTACTATACCAACGGCTCCACCCCGAGGCGTCGCCAAAAAAGATGCATGCATGTGTACCACCTTGAAGAAACTTTGGTGAAACTAGGCATAATCTGTGGCGTCACCCTCATCTCACACTGTGCATCTCACTGCAGAAGGTACAACGCACAATCTTTCTCTCCCAGTTCAAATCCAGCCTTGATTCGAAACAGTTCTAGCCAGCCTATAGCTAATTTTTTTGTCATGATCGTAAGCTTGTTCCCACAAAATTTTTAAGGGGCAAATTTTGCTGGATAGACTAACGGTTAAAATATGGACTAGTTAGAGTTTGGCTTAATGACATCCCTATCTACATTTTATATCTTTACGATATGTGTTTGACCATCATGAGCGGCAAAATATATATGGTTTGTGAATTGAGCAAACTAGACTCTGGGAATTGTGTTGAAACCGAAGTCCATTTGGCCCGGAAGTATGTTCCAGACTTACCCGTATTTTGTCGACGTCCCGCGCACACCCCACCACCTTCATGCCATGCTGGACCAGTGCACGAGCTGTGGCGTTCCCGATCCCCACAGACGCGCCGGTCACCAGCGCTACACGGCCTTTCCAACGCTGCATGTCTCACAAATTATGTGCGGAAACTACGGAAACTACCGCTCGTGACCCAGTTACTAGATGGTTACCGGCTGGCGGCCGTGACCCGTTGACCTCACAACAGCGCCATCTAGCAGTTTTAATAGATATGGCAACGATGGGGACAAGAGTCGGAAGTTCGGAGCCAAAAGAAATTTTCACCCCAAAATCACCATTTATTACACTCTTCAGCCATGTTAATGTTAAATGATATTTCGAGGCAGTTTATGAGAAATGTTACCTCAAACTTGGACCCACAAAACCTTTTCGTCCCTTTTTTTTACCAGGACTACCACATTTTTACCCTCCCATGCCGTCATACCTCCAGGTGACACAAGGTTCGGATCATTTTAACCTGACAATGGTAAGAGGACGGACAGAAAGCTTTGCGGTAAACATTTCAATTTGTGCAACGCTATATATGGACTGAATTTTTACGATGATTTTACCATCACGGACTAACTTTCATAAAAGCACGAAAATCATATGCATAACCCTTGCACTATGCACGTTTCTAAAACACTAATTTATTTTTAAAGTACATCACGATTACAACGGTTATGAATACCTTGGAATATTTAGAAGCATACAAGTTGATGCAGTTTAATCCATTTTCTGTCGTAGCCTTGGTGACACGTACACATATATTTAATCCATCCATTTCATGCTGATTTGCAGTAAGGTACCTCAACAGATTTTATATGCAGTGTGATGCACCTACGTTCAATCATAATCTTCCTTTCCGGGACGTGCTGGTCACGGGATATTGCTTTTGGTTTAGGGTTCTTAACCTCTGACAGCTGGCTTCGACAGTTGGCTACATTACACCGAACGACATGTTACACCTAACCCTTGGACCTTTTGCAGTAATAAACTATATTTTCATCATAAAATAAGTTGCTGGTGGTAATAATAATACAGATATGATTCAGCTTTCTTGAGATTGGCATTGACATAGTAATAAAAATTTAAGCCTGTAATGTGTCAACATTAACATCGATAAAACACTTAATACATAAAATACACAGAGCAGATAATACTGCAAAGATTCAAAATACGATTTATGTTTACTTAAAAGGCTCTAAACACAGACGAAATATATTATGACCTGAACGTATGAACTTGCTTTGTAAATTAGCCAATTTCCTCTCTTCAAATCTTCTGCGATGTCCATTTATCGATTTCCGTTATGTCAACAGAGTTGTGGCCAAACTAAAAATATGATGCAAACTGTATAAGTTATGGTTATTAAGTATTCACAAGACAACTCTCAATTAGAAATAAATGCCATCAGTTTTAACATTCTCTTAAGTATACTTTTCTGTTTCTATGTACATGGTATTTGCTCATAACGGTTTTGTAAAATTAGCATTTGCGTACAGTCTTGTTAGGTGTAGCACTAGTGTTAGCACTAGGAGTAACTGATCTCGACCTCCCTACATTCTAAAGGTTAAATGGCAAGAGCAAGATATACCACTATTCATCGTATCATTCAATATATGTATATTTGCGGAGCACAACAATTGTTGTTCTGCACATACAGTACCATCTATAGAGCACTCTGTATAGGCACTATTTGGGGGTAAGTATTTCTCGTGCAACGCATCACACCGCAGCGAAACGCAACAAATGCGGAAGTAACTATGCCACTGTAGGGTAAAAACATTTGGGGGCTATGATCTAATTAAGACATGAAATTATTGAAAATATTGTGCCAGGAATGCCAACAGGACAAGGGTTAATCCAGCTCGTCAGTTTTCATTTCCTTCATGCTTGTCATAATGCTTATCCCATTGTTCAGTGTGCACTGACTGCCGAGGTTCTTGATTGTATCACATCCAGCCTGCAAAATATTAACATTCAGTTATGTTGTAAAGATATATGCGTAAAAGAAAATTTCAAATGGTTTTATTTGCGCTTTTTGGCTGTGTTATAGAAATTGTACTATAGAAGTGTGTTACCATATATGAGTCATCAGAATGGCATGCAGAGCAAGCAACCAATAGGTATGCAGCTTTCCTCTATTCTTCTTTCTGATTGGATGTTGGGATTATTTGGTTAACCCAATTAGCACCTGTACAAAGCCATGCCATGCGTAGATAGATGGTATGATGACCTGCATTCAAGTGTTTTGGTATGTCAAGCATTCCTGCTCCAGCATTGATTTTTCCTTTATCTTGAAAATCAACTGTTTGCATTATGCAATTAAAAATCCTAACCAATAATGTAGGGGATAGCTATCCAACTGTTGTCACTTCATACTATAGTTAATTTTTTCCCTTGTATTTCTCCTTCTTTCCCTGCCATGTTGTGAATGTGGTGAAGCCATGCTGAATTTGCTCCAAATCAAATGTCGGCCTTTCTAGTTTTTTGTCCATTTTTGCAGAGGTTAAAATGGTAAAAAAGCAACACTCCCTTTAACCCCATTTTACCTCTTTGTTACCCCAGCGTCCCTTGAAGTTCATCCATGTCCAGGACCCGGTGTAACCTCCGTCTGGCCGGTACATGGTGGAGGTTACGTTCTTCCACGTGTCCCATGCCGTCCCCTTATTGGTCTCGTCCTGCTGTTTGTCCCTCAGGATTGTCATGTGTTTGTGGGTGCCAGAGCATGGCCACAGCTTGTGACCGCCTGAAATGGTAAAAGAAGACATGGATTATTGAGATCCTTCACCCCTCTCAAGAAATGGTATTGTTCAGTGCCCAAAATCCTTACAGTGTCTTGAGAGGGGTGGAGGAAGCCATATACACCAGGGCCCATCGCCCTTCATTGAACCGCGACGGGGGCCGACATCGTCTACCTTTGACCCAGTGTTGACGTCACACTTCAAGCCACGTGACAAGCTTCACTGGGCCAGTGTACTGAAGAAGACCAGAGTGACTGGTCGAAAGCTGTAGGTGAGAGAGTTTTTTTGTGTGTAGGACCAAAAGTTTCAACTTTAATTATAAACTCTGATAAATCCGAGAAGCACCCAAGGGAAACATATTAAAATAATATTTGGTATAGTTTTATAATTACAATATAGTTGTCAACAAACATCGTGTTCACTTTCCCTTGGGTGCTTTTTGATACATTTTGGTTTTCTGATGCACAAGCAGCGTCGTATCATGAGTCAATAGTGTTTGCAGAGAAGCACTGTAGTTTGGTGAAGTTAGGGTAACCGTTGTATTTGCAGTGAAAAGTTGCAGCACTGTCAAAAGCAACATGACAAAGTTTACCCGCTTGATGCTTACAGTCGACTACCTGGAATGTGGAATGTGCAATGCAAGGAAACCTGGGATGGTTTCACATCCCTCCTTGCAGGCTAGACATTTTATTGTATTACGATAAAGAGTGAAAACGGTTACCGTAAGCTGAATACAGAATGGGATGTGTCCCCTCAGTCAGTACAATATCGTCATCCTTCCTGTATGTCTGCGATGCGCCCTCCCAGGTGTATATACCTGGCCAAACAAGTAACAGGTCAACATCAGCATGCATAAAATATGTTAATGTTGACTTTGTAGAGTCATTTGCATAAGAATAACTGGAGATCCCAGAACTCAAACAGTTCATAACTCCAGGTCATCCACAAGGAGGCCCATATTTGACCTTCACCTTCGTCTTTCTAAGACTTACCAACACACCAAATATCATCACAATCCATAAAGGCGTTATGAACTTATGCTGACTACAAATGTGCGGAAACACAAATACACACACAGACACATACACACACAGGCGCACCAAAAACAATACCTCCATTTTTCATAGAGGTAAAAACTGCTGTGTTACGCTTAAAGGCGGTTTACCGGTTATGCGAAACAAGAAACAAACCAACATGCTCTTGGACTTGACAACTCCAGGTACCTGCAGATTTGTGTGGAGAATGAACATAGATGCTGCTTGGATATTTTCCCACCAGACGAATAGTCATGTGTTCCCAGTCACCCACGCGATGCCCGAAAGTCTTGTATTTTCCGGCGCAAGCATTAAAAACCTTTATCCTGAATCCTGTTGAAGATTAAGTCCAAAACAATAATCAGTTTCATCTTTCTTAGCCTATCAATAATAATCCGTCAAACCATCCACACGATACATAAATATTTGAATAATGAAAATTCACAGTTTTTTATTCATCAAAACATCAAAACCTAACAAGAACAAGTGTGACGCTACACTCAATTGCAAGTTTATAACTTATATTAACAGCGCCACAAAACAAAAAAGGACAATTAACATCTGAATACACTAAGTTGACATATCTGTGCGCCGCAGTCCACCCCGAGACATTAAAAAATGCTAATGCTAACAAAGTTATTGGAAAAACAAGATTACGTGTTAACCTCCTACATCTCATTGACGGAAACACATCCGCCAATCAGAGCTAGAAGGAGAATTTAGGCCCATTAACACATGTAGTATTTGGACTTCTATACCTAATTGACTGTTAGAAACAGTCAAGCAGAGCTAGAAGCGCTTGGTATCTCCTATGTAAGTCTGAGTGAGTTGCATCGTTTTAAAGTTGCACATAGAGGGTAACAACGTAGAGCCTCTAAGAATAAAGTGTATTCACACTGTTGATTCCATATCGTGTACACGGAGACCTACCGACGCAGACTTTCTTCCCCAAGTTGTACGGGAAGAACATCCAGTAGAAGATGTCTGTAGTGATCGAGTTGACCCTCTTTATAACAGCGTAAACGGGAGGTTGCCTGGTGGGTCCGATCTGTTCTCCACTGAAGAAAGGCAGCGTGGAGTCGGGATGCGGCAGGGGTTGGGCGGTGCTCATGTAACAAGCCTCGGTACAGTTGGGCAGGGTAGACGGCGTGCTGGAATATACCCTGCCACCATCGTGCACCTTGACGTTACGAAGATGAAAGTCGATGCTGGAAGGGTTGAACTTCTCGCCTTTCGCCAGCCACACTTTTGGTGCGTGCTTGCGCACTAGTGCTCCCAGCTGGTCATTTGTGACAGGAATCACTGTAGTGGTATATAAATTAACAAAGGTATATGTATAGGACTGATCAAACCTGTAACATATGTAATTGAGCTTTGTGTAAAAATACAATAATTCCATATTGATAACTACCGGGAATTTTATACTTAACAGAAGAAGAACTTGGTTCCAAGGCAATTGTAGCGGGTACAACGTATGACAACATAATCGTACATGTATAGTTGGTATTGTTAACATTTAACAGTTCTAAGAGGTAGCAGTTCCAACAGTTCTAAGAAGCTATAATAATTTTATAAAAAAACAATTAAGATACTCTATATTATTATACTACTCCTGCTATAGTAATAATAAAATAATATATATATAGTGAGGAATGTATGTCGGTCTTCATCATAGGTTGGGAAATCTATTATAAAATGGAACTCGTTTCCAATGTCTTTATGGCACGTGGAACACGGGCTCTCATTGGCTGGTGTGTTGTACTGGAAACCCTTTTCAATTCGTAAAGAGTGGCCGCTAATCCTTTTGTTCTGTTATGCTACTAACTGATTTGTTTTGGAATCGTGAAATATATTTTTTCACACAGAAATGTGTTTTGAGTTTGAAATAGGTTTTGGGAAGGTTTAATTTGGCATATTTGTAAGGTATAGCAATCTTTGCGGAGAGAAGACTGTCGTTGGGCTTAAAATATGATTAAGCATAATCTATTACAAGCATTTACGATTTGTAGTCGTAAAGGTTAATTTCCTTTTGGCGAAGATATGAGATCCCGGAACTCCAGTTTCTTTAGATGTGCATTATAGCTATTCCCATGATGAAGAACGGAAAGTTCGTTTTACATACTTTTATAAAGAGATGTAACGGAAGCGTTAACTCTATCTGCTAACCTTTGACACAGTGATATGTTGCCTCCAAGTACTTCTGAGTCCCAAAGCAGGGATCACCGAAAAAAAGAGAATTTGCGCTCACGGAGCACTGTTGGTATCCCTCACAGGCGCCCTTCATGACGGCCAGGCTGTTGGCTGCGCGACAGTTGGTGTCGCACGTAGTACAGGGACAGAAGATGGAGGTGGTCGTCCGTCCGAAGTTGGCGTGGTCGATTGATAAAGCCTCTCCCTCTGGGCATGACAGGTACAAGGATGTCCTCCAGCAGGCAAATTTGGTCTCTGTATCGAACGAATGAATGAATGAATGAACTTTTATTTACGTGTCTTGCGACTTTTGTCGCCCAGCCCATATGGGCTTACATGTATAAGACACCAAAACATAAACATGAACATAAACATACTATTACGTACAGAAATCATAGAAACATAAATCCAAATCCGTATCAGTTTACCATGGAAAAAATTATGGTTTATTTTCTACAGATAATGATACACACTGTTGTATTCTCAAGTAGGACTACTTTACTCATTAGGCATTTTTGTATGTGACTTGTAAGTCCCTTGGCACCACCACACTGTGACACAGATCATGTATCACTCCGCGTAACTACACATGTGAGCACAGAATAAGGATCTGGAGTCGACATTTAATTAGTGTTTGTCTCTCGTACTAGACATCACAACATGGTGGCATCGGTGGGATATAGATCTGTGTCACACACCGATCATCATTCCAAATCATTGCTTGCTACAGGATAGCATACCTCGTATATGGAAGTGTAAATGGTGTATTTAATGGGAAAAACATGGGAGTCATGAATGCGCTTTCGCCGGCGATTTCGTGATGGCTTACACGAACGCTCCGCCATAAAGCTATGCACCAGACGCCCAAGACAGGCGAAGAGACTTTAAGTTTCAAGTCAAGCGGATCGATTTTATATCTCACCTTTCTTTATCGTTAGCGTACTTTGCTTATCAGTCTTCTGGGTTTCCAACCATGTTTCCACGTTGGTCATTGGTGACTAGATATAGAAAAAATAAAAAGCATATGTTCATCCTGATTTATGATATATTAGATATAGGCCCTTTTGACAATCTTTAATAGGTAAGAAAAGGCTTATAACAAATTAGAAACAGTGAATGAAATCAAAGGCACAAAGGACGATGAATTTTGACCACTAATTCTGACAGCCTCTTCGGAAGATTTTTAGACGTTCATGTTTAGCCTTTATCCTTTGTCTGATCTTTGACCTTCTGTGATGTGATCTTTCCTACCAATGTGCTATTAAACCTATTTTGTGCGTAGCGACAGAATGCTCGACTCGGAACCAAAAGGTTCTGGGTTCGAGTCCTGACATGCCACCGATCTTGTGCCCTTGGGACCGAAGGGCACTTTATACGACTTTCCTCACTTCGCTCAGGTGACAAATGAGTATTGTCCCGTGTGTTGTTGGCGGCATTAATATAAGTTAAAAAACTTGAGTGCCGTCACCACGTCTTGTGATAATATGTTAGGATATATATATATATAAAACAGATACACAATACCCTGGTACCCGCTTATATGTCTAGATATGTCAATTGCAAGATATGTATGTCTCTCATCAGACCCAAGGACCTGGCAGTGTAGTGTACATATATGGCAGTGTAGTTGTCACCTGTGGGAGTACAGTTGTCACCACTGGCAGTGTAGCTGTTGCATTTGCCAGAGAATCTGTTGTCGATGTACTAGTGGCCCATGCAGTTGAGTTGGATAGAGATGTTTCATCGATCAAGTGCTGAGTCGAAAAAAAAGGCAAACAAAAATGCAAAAACAACTTCAATAACCCAGGCGTAGCTTCATAGTCTTAGTGATTTTGAGAGTTTTACTCAAAGTAAGTGCAACATATCTCTACCTATTGCCGGGCACTACCTATTGTGGTCCACTTTGGGTCATGCACAAATATTCTCATGAGCAATAAGGTTAGGCACGACATAGAAATGATTTTAAGCCATGATCAGAAGAAGTGCATAAAATAAGAAATTTCTTATGCCGTCACAATAGGTTAGCTGTAAATTTACAATTGTAAGCTGTAATTCTCATTTGCAACAATGCAATCATTTTTTATCAAATCGTAAAATCCGTCTTTATTCAGGGAGTAATTTTTTTATGATTCAGGGTGTAAAATTTCAAGAAAAGGCAAAAGACGAAGGTCAAGGTAAAATTTAAAAAAAATTTGAAGAAAAGACAGGATACTAACGGAATGAAGTTTGGCTTCGTTCTCCGGTTTGATGAAACCAATGAGATTCACGACGCCGGCAACCCCAACAGTAACAGTAACAAGGATGATGGCGCCACGCAGTAGATAGGAACAGAGCAGGGGCGGCAAGAAACAACTCTTCGATGAATCTATAAAAAGTTAGAACGGTTTAGTACTTGTCTATAAAGAAATCGTAAGCATCACAATCATTAGCCTCTACGAGGCTTCGGGAGGTGGCTGGAAAGAGTAGAAATGGACCCAGTAGAGAGATAGCATGCCAGGGGAGTTGGTCTGCTGTTCTCTCTGTATTTGGCCGATTTCCACTTTCCAGCCGCCTCCCGAAGCCTGGTAGAGGCTACGCAATCATTATCACATACCTAGCCGCCACGTAGTGAAAAACTTCACAGCAAAGATGGCGCATCCCCCTGGCCGCATGACGTCAGTGCCAGTGGCCATGATTATGCCATCTTTGCTTATTGAAGGTCGCATTGTATTTCTGGACGAACATCGTAGGCACAAAGTAGTGCGGCACATTATTTGAAAAATTAAGATGCAGAGGTTCTTCCGTACGAGACAGCGAGTTAAAAACAGTGCTGAGTTGTAATTTCAAAGGAATGCATAATGTTTTAGACCGTATAATTTGAATTAGGATATTTGTTCGGCCGGGGTCGATTCTGGAGTCTGGATCCTGTTACCGCCTACGACTGTGCATCGGGTGCAGTTCACATGGTCCCCGCAAAGAGCCATATAAAGCTGGGTTTTACATGTACATATGCAAGAATTCTCACGTATTTAGTTGGCTGTACCCTAAACTCAAGCATACTGTTTTTTAACTTGCGCACCCTTCTGTAAATTTTACACAGTCGAACCTTCTCACTTTGGGCTCATTAACTTTGGAATCCCCCTAGGCTATAGGGCAAAACGTGTGTTCTGTTAGCTATATAATTCATCTTTTTTGGTAGTTTCCTTGGCAGGTACAAAATGTACCTTTATCTTGTACCCCAGACGAGTAGGTCGTGTTCGTATGCATGCAGTCATCCCTCTTCCTCTGACTGGGTAGTTTGGTGTCTTTCTCAGTTGGTTGTCCACCATTTTGTTTGACCGTATCTGGCTTCTGTTGATTCTCGATGTCATCTTCGTTGATTGAGTGGTACACTTGGCTGTCATTGTCGCCTGGATCAATGCATTCGGTGTCAGGTCCTCCATCTTTAGTAAAAATTGCCGGTCGTTCTGTGTAAAATAAGAAATGGAAGATTTCAGATTTCCTAAGAAATGGAAAGGTTGAAACAGTGGAGGCCTGGAAGGGATTGTATGATGTAATCTAATCGGGTATTATAAAACATTCTTAATTAATTCTTGTTATGGACTATGCAATTTTGCTGTTGTGTATATGTTTTTGTATGGGGGAAGGCAACTTGTAAAGGGCCGTATGCACCTGTTTTGCCCTCCCTTTCACTTTGTGAAAAATCAAAATAAACAAATAAACAAATTCTGAATTAGGTACTCCACATGCCACCGACTTAGTCCCATCCGACGTCACCTTCAGACTTGTCCTTCATGCGAATCGTCAAATTCAGCACCCACCATTCAAAATCCCTTGGTCAAAGAGTTGTGCATATTAAAGTTTCTTAATGATCAATAATGCAAAGAAATCCTAACATTCTGTACCATTCAGAGAATATTAATTTATCAATAACAAGTTTTGATTTATACGAAGCAGGACAACACAACTTTTCATTGGAATTGATGATAGTCGTTGAATTTAAAATAGCGCACCAAAATGTAAAATCAATGTAGTTTTATTCCATGTACGTCAATAATGATGCTAGAAATCAAACAACAGTTAGAAAGGTGACTGATGCCGAATATATTGCCTTCATTATATTACAAGGACAGGGGACTGTACGAGCGACCTGCATAGACATAGGTGTGACAGGAGGTGAAATAAAAAAAAAAGATTCCCAGAAAATCAACGTCCCGTGCAGCTCCGAGGTATCCCAACATGTACACATACAGTGTTCGAAAAACCACGTGTCTATTAGCGTTCTTAATTTGAGATTCTGAACAAGACCTCTTTGGAAGAGGTGCAAGAGGTGGTTTACTGTAAAGCATGATTTTTTCGTGGTACTGCTATATTCGCGGCCGCGGTTGTCGCGAACTTTCTGTCTTCGTCATCCACCGCCACCGCAAATATATAGTTCCGCGACGATGTACATTTTTTCTCAGACCGCGAAATCTTGCTACCGCAAATGTAAAGTGATTTACAGTATATCAAAGTCAACCGACTGGCCTTGAAGGTAATAGAACACAGTTTTCCCCTATGGTGATTTCTATAGTTAAGTACCCCAAGATGACTCACGCGGTACAATTTACAGGTTGAACGTGTAACACAAATATGTTTGAATATGTTTGAGTAGAAGGTAAAAAGTACAAAATATCTAGAACCAAAAAATTCGGTCGGCGTATCTGCTTGTGACGTACATGTACACTTTGAAATCGCCCTCTACGGAGGTAAAATGAACTGCAGCCGACTCACCAGGAAAGCTTCTGGCTGACGCTCACATTGCTTTCCACCCAGTCTGCAAGAATATTAGCTGTACTATTTACTATACTCGCGTAATAGACCCAAGGGTCGCCCATTAATTCTACTTTTTACAGGCTAGTACGGGTTGAGAATTCTACATTTTTTCTAAAACAGCGATCTATTTGACAGCACAAAAAGGAATGAGTCGTACAGTTCTGAAAACTACCGGCCTTACAAAAGCCGCCCTCTTCACTTAACTGATCGACATCCCTCCCACGCAAGATTGCACAATCACTACGATGATTATTTTTGTGTGTAGAGGCACACGCTCTCTTAAAGTTTCCTTTGAAAAAAAAAATCAAAGGATTTGGGGCGCCATCAAGGCATATATTAGTTGCAATGAAATGAATAAGAATTAGGGTTTTTCTTTTTTCTCACAGACTAATTATTTAAAGGTGAAGGAGTATTTCTTCGTAGTAAAGCTTTGGATTGAATTCGGGAGAACTCATATTCATATTAACCCTCAAACCACCGTATGGGATCAAAACTGACCCAGGCGTATATAAAAGTATGCCATTTTGACATGCCTTGTCGAAAACAAAATTCATTTTATGAGTTTGTTCAATTTGTATATATGTCTTATAACTTCTCATACGTTTTTGCTGAGATTGAAACATTGTTGATTGAGTTATCCATGAAAGTTTATGCGTGGTCCAGTGGGGTCAAAACTGACCCCAGCATTTTCAACACGTCAATATTTCTTCCAGGTAACTTGTTTCATCGGCATGGCTGCCTGTAGGCATCTTGTGTGAGGTGCAGAAATTATAATAATGAGCAGAAATTATTCACACCTAATTATGTCAAATTGTTCGTCATAGATCAACGAAACTAAACATAATACTTAAAAATCTAAAAAAAAAGTCACAAAAAATATACTCGTTCAAAACAATATCATGGGGTCAATTTTGACCCCTTACAGTAAGAACCTATTCTGTTCCAACTTGCAGGTTACTGGACACACAGGAAAAACTATCCTATGAAATGCTACAAGCGACAATTAGACTAAATAGACAAAGTATTAGTCGTAATTTAAAAGAAAATATATTATATAAATATATTACCTCCTTGTTCGGACGAACCACCCTCGTACATCGCGTTGATAAATCCGCGACTAACGGGAAACGTACTGATTGTTTCTATATCGGCTGCCTCTTCATCAGCATTCTCTGAAGAACCAGTCTGTTTAGGCGTGGTGATGCCTTCTCTCTCGGTGGAAACAGCAATAGTTTCCATATCTGTGTTTTGTTAAACAAAAATCAACTGTTTTTCTTTTATATTCCAACATCTAATCACAAGACGTGGTGACGGCACACTCAAGTTTTTTTTCAACTTATATTAATGCCGCCACCAACACAGGGGACAATACAATACTCATTTTCACCTGAGCGAAGTGAGGAAAGTCGTGTAAAGTGCCTTTCCCAAGGGCACAAGATCGGTGGCATGTCAGGACTCGAAAAATCAACTGTTGGAGCATCATTTTGCCTAAATCATGCCAAAGGAATCCAAACAAAGCTAGCACACATGCAAAGTTGGCGATATCTCAACAGTCGTTTAGAATTGTGGGGAAACATTGGCGAAGTCAGAATGTAAGGAGGTAAAAATGTGTAGTCTATAGATTTTTCAGATTCAGATTTTATTTCCAACATAGCAGGTACACGAATAAAATCGAAGTTACCTGAAATGCGGCATTGATCACAAAGCAGCCGTCAGTGTTAAGCTATTACTATGATACAGCATAAAAAGTTCTGATTCTGTTTAGCTCACACTGTTACCATGATATACTAGTAGCATAGAAACAAATGCGATCATTACAAGTAAGGAGACATTTTGACATTGTGATCTCCACACTACTTTCACAAGGGTCATTGCTGCTTCTTCCTACATTACTGAGGCATGGCTTCTGTTTTGCACAGTCCCACGCTTGGAAGATCATTGGGTTTTGTGATGTTCTTAGAAATTTACATTACATGTACATACACGTCCTAGCCTAGTGTAAACAAAACGCATACACCTACCTGTATTGACGCCTTGCCTTGAGAATCACATGTAAGATGTAGTACAACACCAATATATTGTAAACAGGCTGTCGTTAACGTTACTTTGCTCAAATTTTCTGTCTCCGCATCGCTTGACAAAAAAAAATCAAGAGACAACACTACTAGTCCACGACAGGACCTAGCCAAGACATGTCTGACAGGCAGTTAATGAAATCAATGTTTAAAAAAACAAAATGTGATTGTTTACATAGAAGAAGCTTACAATTTTCATGCAATTTGCATGCAATTTGCATGCGAAATTCCTTTTGGTGCTGCCGACTGAAGGTCCTATAAAGTACTTTGATACAGGAGTTAAAGCAGATGGACTTTTGTGTTCAATCAAAGACATTATAAAGATGTCCTTGGTTTAATCAAGGGGAGTTTGTATCACGTGGTATTATAGTAGGGGTAATTTATGGCATGTGTATGTTTTCTTTATGTGTTGATCACACCAAGGACATTATACAATATCTGTATAATGTTCTTGCTCACACAATCAAACTAAATGTATACATGTTCTATACATTATATTTATCTCAGTTGTATATGATGTAATAGTATTTCATTATTGTCAGTAATACTGTAATTTGTAACTGAATTTGTAATTGTAATTTTAACATAAAATATATATGCACTAGTTTAGTGCACAAGTGATGTTATGTATATGCCGACCTATACATTTTTATTCGTGTATACCTTAGTAATTGTAAACGTTGCTTAGTTCAGCCTCTCGGCTGCAAAAAAGCTTCCGAATCCAACTTGTTGTATTATGCATGTCTTTGCAAATAAACCAGTTATATATACGTGTATCTTACAGTATAAGACAACCAATTATAAATACCAATACAAAACGTAGCCATAGACAACCCCCCGGCTATAGTAACAAATTGGCGCCCTTTATATAACACTCTACCATTATGTTGCGTATATAATGGTCACCTACTAATAATTGTTATAAGTCTATGATAATGTATGTATGTACTGTCACCATAATACAGTCTTAGGACTGCAAGTGTGACATATGTGAGGGAAATTTCAAATAAACCATTCTTATGTCAGTGTTCGGCTTGAAACCAAGAGGTCCGGGGCTCGATCCCCTGATATGCCCGATGCTGTGCCCTTGGGAAGTGCACTCTATACGACTTTCATTTCCTTTCAAGCAGGGCCTTTCGTTCATATACTGACGGAGTTGGTATGAACAAATGTGCACATTTGCCACAATAACGGTACCGTACTTTTAAAAACCCTCCCAACATGTGACAATCGCATCTAGCCCTGATCTTTCCCCCGGTAGGATCCGGTTATACTCTGTATGTACATATACACAGAACAACAAAAACACTAGTAATTTAAAGCGGAACAAAACAACGTTTGCGATTATGCTCTCTTTCTAGGGATCACTTGGGAAACACAAGATCGTTCTTTAAAAACCTTCACCAAATGATGTCAACCCTTCCGATGGACCAATTATACATCTTTACTCATTGATTTCGCAGATGAGAGCCTCTTTTGCATGGATTATATCGGTTGATCATAATCTCCACCAAATGACTGCCTCCACCCAGTTCCAGAACAAGCCGCTAGGGAGCCCAAGAGCAATCTACGTATACCATCCAAAATTCGTGACTCTAGCATGTCCAGATCATGAGGTATCAAAACAGGAAGTTCTACTGCAGTATCAACAAAAGTAAAAAATGTTATCATTTTTAGGTCTCATTAAGACCTACTCACCTACTAACTCTAATGACAATGCATATAAAACCTCTTGAGTTATGCTGTTCACAGACGGACAAACAAACAAACAGACAGACGGATAGACGGAAAAACGCAACTGAAAACATTACCTTCTTATCGAAGGTAAATTGCGGGGGTAGAACTCTAAGACAGCGTATGATCTTTTTCAATATGCATGTGGCCGATTGTAAGCTTCAGCCTTTTATCGTAATCTTCAGGATTTAGAAGACGGGACTAAAGGTCTTTGCTGTCAACATTTGCACAAGATGAGGTGTTTTCATGGTTATCGATTAAAAAGGAGCAGGTACGTTACTGCTTTTTTCATATCATACATTTGGTGTTATTATACTCAAACAGAGAACCTGTTTTCTGTGTTTACAGCCCATCTCCGTTTTGTCATTTGACAGAATTCTAAAAATGGCTATAACAAAAATTCAGACTAATCGGTAGCGTTACAGTGAGGAAAATGATTCTACGTAGGATCTTACAAAAACTACCTAAAAGCTAGAAAACAACTTCATAGCCGCACCAAAACTATGATGTTTAGAACGACTTGCCAGGCAAATCTTGATGATAAAAAAATTGCGGGGGTAGAACTCTAAGACAGCATAGTATCCTTTTCAATAGGCATGTGGCCTTTGCTGTCAACATTGGAACAAGATGAGGTATTTCTAACTTAAATTCATGGTTATCGATTAAAAAGGAGCAAGTACGTGACTGTTTCTTCGTTTCATATCATACGTTTTGTGTTATCATACTCAGACAGAGAACCTGTTTTCTGTGTTTACATTCTGTGTGTCCATCTCCGTTTTGTCGTTTAACAGCTATGACAAAAATTCAGACTAATCGGTAGCGTTACAGTGAGGAAATGATTCTACGTAGGATCATACACTACTTAAAAGCTAGAAAACAACTTCATAGCCGCACCAAAACTATGATGTTTAGAAAGACTTGCTATAGACAAATCTCTACGTTAAAAAATTGCGGGGGTAGAACTCCTAGACGCAATAGGATCTTTTCAAATGCTGATTGTACGTTTGAGCCTTTTATCGTTTATTATCTTCAGGATTTAGAAGAAAGGACTAAAGGCCCTTGCTGTCAGCATTAGAACAAAATGTGGCATTACCAAGTGTTTTCATGGTTATCCCTTTAAAGGTGAGGGTACGTGACTGTCATTTTTCCAGACGTTTGGTGTGAGTTGTTGCTTTATAACCAGACTAACTAAGAGCCTTTTTTTTCTGTGCGTATCACAGCCACAGTGCAACACAGTCCAGTTCCAATAAGTCAAAAGTAAATCATCATCAACACCGACCGAATGGCCATACAGTAGGAAACATTCCAGATTCTCTTTAAGGATGTGGATGTTCTGACTCTTTTGAAAAGCGGAAATTGCGGAAGGTGACATGAGCCAAAAGCCGTGCAAAGACGCGGAAGGATTTTTTTGTACTGAGATCTGAAATGCGACGTGCTGCGCCTGATTACCACAGCCCCTCAAATAAAAAGGGATAAAGGTACGCGACACAAAGGAGTCAGAAAACAAACAGTGCGAATACGTGGACTTGAACGGCCGGAAAGTATTTTGGCGTTGTGTTCTTGACTCCATCGAGCTCTTCCCACAGAACTCCCAGCTCACCAACATAAAGGGATGGAGATGACCGAAGAGAACCAATCGCCGGAAAACGAGTGTGAACAAGTGGACAGACAGTACGAAGAAGACGAGGAGGAAGTGTTTGGCACTTTTGGCAGTGTACACATAATGCTGGGACGAGGAGCGAAGTTCCGCCGCGCTGCGCCGCGGACCGACACCCGCTCTCGCCATCTCGACATGGGTGACCACGTGGTGGTATATCCGGAGCACCATCAAGGTCTATGCTCCGATGATAAGGCTTACAGGCAGGAGGATACCAACGTTGATGAAGAGGCTCAGACAGCTGGCGTTTACAACGCCATAGGTATGTCCATACAAAACTTCAATTGGAATTAATTGAATTATTCCATGATCTTTACCTGTTTTTACCAGCCAGGCAATGCTTCCTCGAGTAACATCTCAACACCAGGTCCAGGTATATATAAAAAATATAATACTTACATAACACTAAAAAGGTATCATTTGCAACTTACATAACACTAAAAAGGTATCATTTGCAAAGAAAAGTAATAATACCTTCACATGGTCAATTCGCAACACACTACTGCTCTGTGTAGTCTTACTTCAACGAATTAATGTTCATTTATCTGCTGGCCAGCCCCTCTGTGGCTCAAAGAAAAGAGATGGGCCAGGGAGTTGATCACCCCCAGAAATCACCATCAACAACTATGAGCTAGAAGTTGTTCCCAAGTTTACTAACCTAGGCTCCATCGTATTAAACAATCTTTCCTTGGAAGCTGAAATAAATGGCAGAATTTGACGAGAAACAACAACCTTCGCCAGGCTACAGAAGAGAGTCTGGGGTAACCAGAAGCTTATGATTCACACAAAGATTGCTGTGTGCCCTCATCATCAGTGTTCTGCGTTATGGCAGTGAAACATGGTCCCTGTATTCAAGCCAGGAAAAGAAACTTCACACATTTCACATGCGCAGTCTATGTAGAATTCTTAATATTAAGTCGAATGATTATGTCAGTAATGTGGATGTTCTCACACGTGCTAACATTCCTAGTATGTGTGCTGAAGCAGAGCTGATTCCGTTGGCTTGGACAACGGGGTCGGCTGGGAAAATTTGCCGCATGTCAAATGGGAAAATTCCGAAGGACATGCTGTACAGTGAACTTGCCAACGGGTGAACTTGCCAAGAGCAAGTGGTCGTCCTCGCCCTCTCTCCAAGCAGAGCATGCCTGCAGCCAGAAATTTGAATGAGGGGGGGGGGGTCTTCCCACTGTCCGAGGGACCAGCGAGCGCTGTAGGCGCGAGGTTCCTACGCAGTCCGGGGGCATGCTCTCCCGGAAAATGTTGAAAATGGAACGTTCTGAAATGCCATTTCTTGCGTTTCTGAGAAAATTTCAAAGGAAAAATCAGACATAACTTTGTATTCAGTGACAAAGTGGGCAGTTTACCTAGGATTCCAGCCCCGCTGGATATACAAATCAGTTTATCTTTTTAAGAAAAATCTTGGACCTTTACATAAACAGGGGGCCTTTGAGCCGAAAAATACTACTCTCCAAGCAGAGGTTTGGGTTTTGGCTTATGGGGGTTTGTTTTTATAAAAAAAGAATAAAAAATAAAAAAAAAATGATTAAAAAAACCACGGGTAAAAAAAATCGTCTAGATAGGTTATTCCCTGAAAACTAAATGGTATACAACATAACTTTACCAAAAGTGTTTATGACAGAACATTAGGGTGTACTAAGTCTTGTGTTGCCCATAGCAACACCAGTGACGTCATAAAATGACGTTATGCATATTTAAGCTATCCGCCATCTTGAATCATTAATCTTGAATTTTCAAAAGTAGTTTTTTTTCAGGATAGAGCCTAAAATACATTGTAAACAGACTAAAGACGTTCATATGAACCTTTTTTGTAAAAAGAAATGGAAGTATTGATGAAATTTTAAGGAAAATAACCTATATATACCTGTTCTAGTGATATGGTCCGCACTCTTGGATTTTGGCCAATGACGTCATCAAATTAGCATAATTTATGCATTTTTAATGATAAAATTTACATAAAATTATATGGGATGTTATAAATGTTAGAAACCATGTGTAACCTGACATCAAACCCATAAAATTCTATTGTTGAAACGAAAATTATTAAATTTAGCAAAAAATGCCTGTCAGAAACCCGTTGCCATGGCAACACAAAATATCATTATCTTATTCCAATGATACAGATTTGTTGCCAACAACATTTTAGGAAAAGTCACCAAGTTTGGCCGTTCTAGCGCCAGCCGTTTAGACGCTATGTGACATCAAAGTTGGCGCGGGCACTTTTAGCCCTCCCCCCGTCTAGATAGGGTTAAGTGTTTCTCTTATATTACATTCATCTCACGGATACCTTGTTTCATTCTTTAGAGATATTTCTATACATGTATATGAAGATAATGTAAATTTCATTCAGGCGACACGCCCATGCAGCAGTCTCAGACTGATTGGAGGCCACTTGCGGACGCGGCTGCGAATAAACCCAACCTTATGTACACCTCCGGAACAGGTAAAACGTTGACTGTGATAGAATATGAGGAATTTCAAATACCCTTTTGATGCTTTTCAGTAAGAAACAAGAATTCGAAGATCTCACACCTCCATGAAATATATGGGTTTTTGTAAATGTTTTTTGTCTCATTGACTATGGAAATAAGGTCGTTATTAGAATAATCTAGTTTAATTTATGATTTTGTAAATTCAAATGACAATATTTTTCGTGTAAAATTACTCTACTTTGTCATACTTCCTTTCAACATGTCCTCATTAATTATGCAAATGACCTTCACTTTAATATAATATATGCATAGTGGTGTTAATCTTTAAGTAACTTACACATATCACAAGGTATAAAAGACCCATCATTTACCAATAAGGAGTCACAGAATTTTCACATTAATTATGCAAATTAGATCATTTGCATAGTTGGTATCTGTTGATGTTCCGCCTGCCACAAATTAATAGATTGCATGTATAGCAGTACTATTATATAAAACACTGTAATTATAGAATTACCTAATTAATTTTGCAAATTAAGTCATCATTTGCATAATTTGCATTTAATTATGTACAACTCTCTCTCAGCTACCTACACACCAAAAATGATGAAAATACGTTGTTCCTATCTATAATTATTGGCTTTTAAAGATTTCGCCAGAAGGTGCCCTGCAGTTCCAGAACAAGCTGCTAGGGGGACCAAACTCACACCACTTATTCCTGACAAAAAAGCTATCTGTCACAAAAACGTCAGGACCATAGTATGTTCAGGACAAAAGATACAAAACCCGGAAGTTCTGCTGCAGTGCCAAGGTCATCCACCAAGAGGCCGGTATTTGAACTTGACCTTTGTCTTTCCAAGACTTACCAACAATCCAAATATCATCATACTGACTACAAATGTGCGGAAACACAAACACACAGACACACACACACAGAGACAGGCCAAAAACAATACCTCCATTTTTCATGGAGGTAATAAAACGAAAACACGTTCCTAAGACTTAGAGATGGCAATAGCTGGTTGCTGTGGGTATCATTTTAAGTTCAACTTGGTTTCAACTTAAGTGTTTCTCGTATGTTATATTCATCTCACGGATACCTTGTTTCATTCCTTAAAGATATTTCTTATAACATTTTAACGCATATGAAAATACCAGTAATATCCTCTGTAACAAAAAAATCGCACTATTTCTGGCTCGCCAGTTGATGAATTTACTATAGTGTGTCTTGTCCTAAGGCCTTGTACTTTCGTCTACATCTAAATAACGTGTAAACGTTATGAGATACTGCAAAATTTTGATTGTAAGACAAAACTACTGGATACGTAGTCATGAACTTCATTAGTGTTGAGTATAAATAAATTTGCCTTACTATGGCTTTTATTATCATTCAATTATCATTCATTCCTAGACCATGCAATCGAGATGTGGAGGACGTTATATTTATCTCATGAATATATTTGTAATTCAATTGACTTGAATTACCTTCTTCCATTCCTAAAAGATATTTTTCATATTATTTCAACGCATATGAAGATAATGTAAATTTCATGCAGGCGCCACGCCCATGCAGCAGCCTCAGACTGATTGGAGGTCCCTTGCGGACGCGGCTGCGAAAATACCCAACCCTATGTACAACACTGGAACAGGTAAAACGTTGATTGTGATAGGATATGAGGATTTTCAAATACTCTTTTGATGTGATAACTTTTTCAAAAAGAAATAAAAAGGAAACATGTTCCCAAGACTTTGAGATGGCAATAGCTGGTTGCTGTGGGTATCATTTTAAGTTCAACTTGGTTTCAACTTAAGTGTTTCCTTTATCTTACATTCATCTAACGGATACCTTGTTTCATTCTTTAAATATATTTCTTATAACATTTTAACGCATATGAAAATAATGTAAATTTCATTCAGGCGCCACGCCCATGCAGCAGTCTCAGACTGATTGGAGGTCACTTGCGGACGCGGCTGCGAATATACCCAACCCTATGTACAACACTGGAACAGGTGAAACGTTGTCTCCGATAGCTAAGATTAGGACCTTTAAATACATGGTACAAATCAGAGAAGACATGTTAGAGGTACTCTCTCTCTGTCTAAGGGAACTTAACGAATACTAGTATGTCACACATAACAGACCTGTGCTATTATGTAGGAAAATTTTTGATATGTACATGTACATGTACTCTGTTGCCTGCTCCTAAAAGTATGTGATAATATGTTTTGTAAGACAGAAATCTGTTGTGAAAAAATGTCCATACTGTAACGTACATTTTGTGACATAGTACATAATAGTACATTCTGTGCTATTATGTATTCATCATCTTTAAGCTTTTAAGAGTTTAAGCTTCACTATCCAGGACTATGAATTGGTATGGATATTAGGAGTGGCTGTATGTACTAAACACTTAATACTTGTAGATGAAAAGCTCTGATACAGCTACAAATTTTATGTTGTAAGCCAGAAATGTACCTTATATGACCATGACTTATATGGACAACAATGTTACTCATGCATATGATGGAATAAAAGTCAAGTTAAAAAAAATGGGCACTCTCTCCACTAGCTGCCGTCACACGAGACAGTAAAGTAAAGGTTGCCCCACGAAAAAACCTTTAAATAGCCTTTTAATATTATATATATATTTAGAACCGGCAATTGATGGATGGATTCTGTAGGTATCATATTAGTGAACGGTTGATTTGTCCTAAAATACCAGGTGTCGATATTTCCATTCTGATTGATTTCGGTTACCTGGTTCTATTCCTGAAAGATCTTTTCACATAACTTTGTAACCCACTTTGAGATGATTTAAACATTATTCAGGCGCCAGGAACGGGCAGCATCATCAGACTGATACTACGTCACAAGCGGACGCGTCTGCGAATGTACCCAACCAGAGACACACCGCTTTAACAGGTAGGTTGTTGTGCTTTTTCTAGTAGGACAAGTACTTTTAGATAGCGCCTTACCATTATTACATCCTCTGTAGCAAAAAAAAATCGCACTATTTCTGGCTCACCTGTTGATGAATTACTATAGTGTGTCTTGCCCTAAGGCACTGTACTTCCGTCTAGATCTAACAGTCACTTGTGTCACTGTTAATGTTGTAAGTGAGATACTGCAAAATTTCGATTGTAAGACAAAACAATACGTAGACATGAACTTCATTAGTGTTGAGTATAAATAAATGTTCCTTACTATGGCCTTTATTATCATTCAAGTATCATTCAATCCTAGATCGTGCAATCGAGATGTGGAGGATGGTGAGATCCAGTACGTTTTTCTGGGTTGCACCGGGTTGCGGTCTGCTTGTGATAGCAGCAGTTGCCATAGCTGCAATCGTGGCTTCCCTCCCCATATCAAGAGGAAAGGTAAGGCAACACACAGTCTCTTATTCTGATCCAACAAATTTCTCTGATCGAGTTTTCCTTAGTGATGCTGTCTTCCTGTGATGCCTTTCTCATTTTTTATGAACAATTTTAGGTGACGCAGGACACAGGGGACCCAGATATTGATGTCATGCTGAATGTATCAGCTTTTCCGTCATGGTGGACAACATTTGACAACAGCTCGGCCTTTCACGAGTCTACCTTACCTTCTTTCACATCGACACCGCTTAAAGGTATCGTTCATGACACCAAATGTTAGACTAGAACAAGCGTCTTTTTTCTGACAACCACCGGTGCCCTTAATCCATATACATTTGTAATAAGAATACGTCCCTCTTACAATATTGTTCTGTGTCCAAGACTCAACGCGAATATACTGTAAACACCTGATAACTTTACTTGTGATGAGAAGAACCTTTGGAACAATTCATTTCAGCAAAATTTTGATATGGATTATTTCGATTTTTCATCAACGAAGAATTGAGGTGTTAAAAAACTATTGTAGAGTCGAACTCGTTGCAACCATGAACAGTTGGGGCATTATCATTAGAAAAATTTAGAGACATCTCCGGCAATTAGATGTGCAGAGATTGGACAACTGCAATTAGATGTGAAAACTCATGCAATGCATTGTGTGTGCCCGCTGCCGCTGCGCCGCGTGCCTGCGAAGCTGGTATGTTACACCGAAAGGCGGTTATATCGACTATGAAGATAGATGGAATGAAGAGTGAAACAAGCTTCTTTTGCTCACAAATATTGCACACAATTGTTTTCTTTTCTCTTTGAAACTTTGAATTACAAGCAAAACATTCTAGCAAATCAAGGCGGTCTTCATATGCATCCTTTAAATTCTGTGACTTGAGATCAGCGACCTGAACAACCTTCAAATGTGCCAATGGTTGGGAACACATTTCTATGCTTAGCAGCACAGAGCATATTTTCTGTTTTATGCAGACATCGATGAGTGTATCAAACGGCCATGTCTACATGGGCGCTGTGTGAACTACCCTGGTGGATACCGATGCACCTGCTCACGTGGATGGACTGGACAGAATTGTCGGCAAGGTACCTTTCATGACGTTCCTAATGTTGATTATAATTTTGGAGCTGTGTTGGTTATAATTTTACACTTATTAAGCTTACGTTATTTTGTCTTTGTGTATCCAATATTACTTTGAGTTATTTCTGCTAACATTTCTTTCCGATTTCTTCACAGACATTAACGAATGTACCAGAAACCCGTGTCAGCATGGATCTTGTGTTAACACTAATGGCGGATACCGCTGCAACTGCCAACAAGGATGGACTGGAACAAACTGTCATCAAGGTAGTTTTCCTTGATAAAAAATCGATTGACCTGTAGCCTGAAATTTAAACCAGTGTCCTCCAAGGATGTTCCAAAAACCTGTTCCGTACCGCCTGATGTTAAACACCTGTCACACGTTCAGAACTCCCCCCCCCAAAAAAAACCAGCCGACCAACGTTGGAGTAAGGTAGTCTGACCAGATTTAAGCCATTTCTACCTTCCTATAGGAATCTAATCAAAATTGAGCCAACTATGTCTTTACCTGCTGAGCTAGAACACCAGTCAACCAGCCAATCAATGGCTGAACCCCCTGTCCACACACGAATGTTTATACATTTGTCTGGCGCAGTCGAACACAAACCGACCTAACCGAACATCATGGCCAGTCTCCCGTCCTACTCCCAACCATGGTTTTTGCACTTGGATAATGTTTAGGAGGCCAAGTTCGTGAATGTGTGACTGTGACAGGTCCTTTAGATTACAACATGCAGTTTTTCACAGTCCGACCATGCCAAAGTGGGAGGATTGACTATAACATCCAATGCCACAAGTTGTTTAAACACAAAGTCAATGTACCTACTTGCATGGATGGACAGGACAGGATTGTCGCCAAACATGACGTTCCTAATGTTGATTATAATTTTACACCTGTTGCTTTGAATGTCCTGTAAAGCTTATGTTGTTTGTATTGATGTATTCAATATCCCCGTTATTTCCCGGAAATAACAGTTCTTTTCGTTTCATCACAGACATTAGAAAATGTACCAGAAACCCGTGTCAGCATGGAACATGTGTTAACACTTATGGCGGATACCGCTGCAACTGCCAACAAGGATGGACTGGAACAAACTGTCATCAAGGTAGTTTTCCTTGATAAAAAATCGATTGACCTTTAGCCTGGGACTTAAGTCAGTGTCCTCCAAGAATGTTCCAAAAACCTGTTCCGTACCACCTGACGTTACGTCTCTTTCACACATTCAATGGCGTCATTCCCGTGTCAAAATTACGGACATACAAAACGTCACGTCCGCCAGGCAAACGTCACGTATGACAAAACGTACTGATACGTTACGCTCAGTAATTTCCATGTCAAAATTACATACGTTCAAAACGTCACGTATGGCAAAACCTATGCGTAAGTACGCGTGTTGTTGCAATTTCCGTTTTAAAATTACGCACGGGAAAAGCGTCAAACTATTGTATGCCAAGCCACGCGTCACTTATGGCAACAGGTCATTTTCTCCACCTAACGACAGCCTTATCTTAACAGAGAAAGCTATTCTTGCATTTCCTCGTTAATTATGCAAACGAGGTTGTAAGTTGAATACCTTATGTTAATTGATGTTCACCTTCACAAACCGACCTGGCGGAACATCAGTCGACCTTTCTCACGTACGCCCTACTCCTTACCTTGGTTGGTATGTGTGTGTGTGGGTGGGGGGGGGGGTGGCTGATGTTCAGGAGGCTAAATTCGTGAATCTTTTTCACAGCCCCCCGACGATGTCAGAGTGGTTGGAGCGAATATAACAACCACTGTTACAAGTTCTTCAAAGACAAAGTCAGTTGGGACGCTGCAAACGGGAGGTGCAAACAGCATGGTGCAAATCTTGCTTCTGTCGGAAGCGCTGGCGAGAACAACTTCATCGCACGTCTCATCTCGGATGGTGGGTGATGGCTCATTTACTTAATAGTGTAACATGCACGTATGTAATGGTTTAGGACATATCTGATCTCAATAGACAGTTCAGGTCGTCCCTATATGACGTGCCACTGAATGAATGTACCGAGTGTACATGTTTCACACATCAGTTTAATATAATTGTTAAATAATACTTTTCGCATGGTGGTTGTTGAATTCTACTGATCCATATTTACCTTCGCCAAGAACTTGGCAAGAAGGTTATGTTTTCCTAGGCGTTCGTGTGTCTCTGTGTGTGTGTGTCAGCACGATAACTCAAGAAAGCTAAGATGGATTGTCTTGATATTTTATTAGGTGGATAGGTCTTCATGAGACACGGAACTGATTAAATTTTGGGGCCCCTAGCGGCTTGTTGTGGAACTGCAAAAACATCTGTTTGAAAATATTCAAAGGAGGAAAACTCAACTGGTTGACGGATCGTCGCGAATTTTGGTATGTAGGTAGCTGTCATGATGCTTGATATAATTATGTCACAATTATGCAAATATGGATGTAATTTGCATAATCTATGGAGAAATTCTATAAATCAGCTGCATTCCATGATAGGACTATTGAGGCTTGGTAATTGAGAACGAGAGAAACACAGGTAGATATTAATCATGTACATGAAGACTTCATTTGCATAATTAATGAGAAAATTTTACAATTATGTAATGATAACTGCCCGGAATTTCATACTTGTGGTATTTGAAAGTTAAGTGAAGGTGAACATCATTAAACATAATGTATTCAAATCAGAAATCTAAAACTACTAGTATCAATTTAACTACGGCACTAGATTGCTGTCGGGTAAAGCCAGATAGGCAGGCCCTCTGACAGATTTGTAAACTTCCAGCCCCTCGAGTACATGGGAGCGTTTGGTTTCACATCTGGTTTGGACTGAGACGAAATCGAAATGGACAATGGAAGTGGACGGATGGTTCTCCCGTTTCCTACAAAAACTGGGCTCGTGGACAACCTCGTCTTCTTAATGACCGTGCCTTTATGCACTACAAGGTATCTCTTTTTTTTCGAGTCTTTCTGCAAACGTTAACATGATAGGCCTGTGTTTATTTTCAATAAAGGCCGTAATCAAGTTAGAACACTATGTATATCATCCATCTGCATCAAAAATACTAGTAGTGTAACCCACTAAACATTAAGATTGCATAAGAATTAAGATTACATAAGACTGCAATGTCAAAAATAAATGGTTAAGAAAAATAAAAGCTAGCTTAAGTGTTTGATTTTCGTTTCATTTTCACCAGGACTGCGATTCATGGTTGCATTGCGAGTCCGGGAAGGAGAAGAAGGGACAGTGGAGCACCATCCGTGCGTGCTCCCTCCAATTTCCCTACGTTTGCAAGACTCTTAAATAAGATAAAAATTAAATCCTGTTACTTGTAAACACAACCTTTGATTGAAGACAATGTTAGGTCAAGTTAGTGCAGAAGTATCATAGACCACCTTGGTACAGGTGATGCGTACACTTAATACATGGTTTGATGCTCCTTTGTCTTGACCACATATAAGAGGCTTAAATGATAACCCCATATTTTTCACTGTTGAGAAATCAAAATTAATTCTAAAGAAATTTAAAGTAATTTGAATACTTTCAGTAACCGAGACTTCATTCTGTGCATATAGTAGACAAGTTCATTAAATATCAAATGGAAAGATATGTTTATGATTAAGAAACTTATTAATATGATTTTAACTTGATCCACACTTAGAGATGCTGTAAAGTTAAGTAACACTGGAATGATAATTAGTTACTGTCAATTTCTGTTTCCTTAATATATATGTTCAAATGGTCTTACGAGACCGATGAAATGCCTACTGATATATATATTTATAAGACATCATATTCAAGACCGAATACTGAAACCGAGGACAGTCAGGAGCTGGTGTGACCTATTGAAATTTGGGACACTGTGGCTAAAAAAAACAAACTATCATACGTAAAACAAACTGACCACCTTCATGACTGTACGATAATTAGCTTTATTTGTGAAGTCATCAATTTGAACAAGGAATAACCAAGGACATTCGTCCTTAAAATATCTAAAAAAGACTGATCTCTAATAAAAATCAAGTGCCACAAAACTACCAGTGGTAAGTATGTTAGAACTAGCGTAAAAGCAATAACTAGTATATAGTTTGGTTAGTTGTGAAAAAAACAACTGTTAAACAACTGGTCTTACTAATAATGAGTACTAACGGGACCAAAAACAGCTCATCTAGCATCATTCAGCAATAGAACAACATCTACAGAAAAAGGATGGTAAAAGCCATCTACCGGTAATTGACAACCAACTGTTGCCCTAGATTGTCTAACACCACTGATTAGTAGTAACGTAAAAAGAAACATGATTAAAAAATGCAGCAGCTTCAACTGATTTACCCTTCTTATTGATGGTTTTTCAGTATCTATTTCTTCTTGAACTGCCATGGATCAAACATCAAGTAACTGCATACTTGCTATGCCTTACATCGTACCGGTATATGGGATTTCCTACTATCCCCTCTTATGTCACCTTCCATTGCTCTACACAGTTTAACAAATCCACGAAGTTCTCAGTAATTGATTTCTATTAGAAAATTGTAAAGCTTGCTACACTTTACACAGCTTTTTAGAAATCCTGATCTGAGTGAGTTCGCAGTTTTTGCGGAGAACGCAGCTCACTTAAGCATCTGCTGCTTTCCAGCTAACACCTGTGGGGATTCTTACCCATGTGAGTCTGCATGTGAGTTTAGCTGATTTAGGCTAATGAACTTCTTGCTGCACTCCTTACACATTCTCTGAGTGGGAGCGCATGTGTCTTGTCAAAGAACTGTGAAAACTGTACTGCCTGCTGCACTCCTCACACTTGTAGGGTTTCTCCCCTGTATGAGTTTGGATGTGGACCTTTAGATTTGCTAACCGAGGAAACTGCCTGCTGCACTCCTCACACCTGTAGGGTTTCTCCCCTGTATGAGTCCGCGTGTGCATCTTTAGAGCATTCATCTGACTGAACTGCCTGCTACACTCCTCACACTTGTAGGGTTTCTCCCCTGTATGAGTTCGGACATGGACCTTTAAATCTGCTAACCGAGGAAACTGCCTGTTGCACTCCTCACACGTGTAGGGTTTCTCCCCTGTGTGAGTCTGTGTGTGCATCTTTAGAGCTTTGAACTTTTTTGAACTTTATTTCTTTGCTTTTGGCCACCTTGGGCTACAGCAATACAGTTTTAAAATTACAATTAATCAATACATGTACATAACAAGA